ACCGGATCCAAGCCATTAGCCTTTATGTGATGCATATTTACACTTTTGCATCTTAATATTTTTGCTTTTGTTTTGTTCTCTTTTTTTTTGAATGGCTGACCACATACTTTCTTCTTCCCAAATTCCTCATTCTTCAACTCCCCCAAACTTGTTTGATGTTATCAATTTGCTCTCTTAACCAAAGCAAAGGTTATGGTTAATTTTTCATGGTTTGGGACAAGTGGAAGGTGTAGTGTTTAGGCTTAGGAAGGTATGGGTCAAGTGAAAAGTGGAGATGGCTTTTTGGCTTAGAAGGTTAACAAAATAAAGGAATATGAATGCCTTGATCATATAAATGCACAACATAAGCAAACCACCAGGGAAACTCAAGCAAAGTCTATCATGCGACTTAAGCGTAGTTCACTCATCAGTATTTAGGCTCAAACCTCACCCGGCTATGCATCCACAAACTATCAAACTCAGCTTAGTTCTATGATCAACATTGAAACCCGTATGCAACTAGTCATGAACTGAAGATCTAACGTGACTTGAAAATGTCTAAGGTACACGCACCACAAATATCAAGAAAACCACAATCCAGAATAGATCACGGGAAGGGGGTGTGGGGTGCGGAGAAGGGAGGGTGTGAGGTGCGGGGAAGAGAGGTGTAAATTTAGGAATTTAATTTTTTTTAAAGGGTAATTTAGACATTTTATATATTTTTAAAAAAAAATGGGGTGTGCTTATACGAGGGTGGAGGTGTGTTTAACATCTGCCGGCGTGTAAAGTGAGAGTTGTGGTATGTTGGTGGGCCAAGCCCATGGAGATATAGGCCCAGTGAGGAAATGGAAGAAGAAAGAAGCGTGTGGAGAGCACGTGGAGAGGGTGATAGTAGCCAGTAGGCGTGTCTCTTTGCTTTCCTCACCTTTCCACTCTCCCTCTCTATATCCATCATTCAAGACCAGTGCTGTGCAATTCGTCTTTGTTTTGGCGCATACCAAAATGTCCATGTCCATTGCTTCTGTTGGCGTCGCTCTGCGTCCTCTCTCTCTCTCTTCCCCATGTTCAGCTCTGTTCCAGTCCCGAAACTCCTTCGCCAAGTGTCTCGCGTCCAAAGAGGATTTTCCCCAACTCAAATCGACAAAACGCACCCAAACCATCTTACGCTCTTTCTCTCCGTTCCCGATGCTGTGCGCCGCTGCTCTCTTACCCGGAGGTACGCACTCCCAACCAAACCAAACCTTTTCACTCATCATTTAATTCACCGTAATCAATGTATGCTACTTACTAACAGGTGAAGCCATTACTTCCGCGTTTGGGCCTTTCGTTGACCTTGTGAAGTCCTGGAATTTGCCGGACTGGCTCGTGCATTGGGGCCACCCTGGCAACATGGTACGTAATCACCATTCATCGTATCCATTATACAAAGAAGCAAATGATTTCTTAAAATAATTGAATTCATATCTTCACTTTCAGGCGGTTGTGCTCTTTGCTATGGGTGGCTATGGTACTTATCTCGGTTTTCGTATTCGTTATTCTGATAATCTGGTAACCTCTCTACTCTAATTGCTTTTCCCTTTTTATAATGATTTATTTTGCCAATCCAAAAAAAAAATCCTTTCTTCTTAATTTTTTTTTTCTTTTAGATTTTTCATCAATTATGATAAAAAAAATTTATACATAATCAGAGAATAATCTTCATTTTACAAGTCCATCTTACAAGGATTAATTATATCCATAATTCACTCTCTTTACGACAATATTGTGGAGAAATTATTAGGTGGACCATATGGTCGCTAACTGGTCTTTGTTTGCATGGTAAAGGTAATTAATCAAATGTTATTAATTTTTTTTAAATTGAAATTTTTAAGTGTATGCCATGCAGTGATTGATTAAGATTAGACACTTGATAATTTTGGATTACTTAATAATTCTTCTGAGTATTGTTGAACCTATTGGACTAGCTACTGCTGAATTATTATCGGATTACTCACATATATCCCGATCCCAAACATTAATTTTACTACTTTATTAGCTTGGTATTTCTATAATTTATTTATTTATTTATTTTTGAATATTTTGCAGGAGGAAAAGGCTCAGGCCAAGGATTTGCATCCTAAGCTTTTAGCTGGTATGTTTTTCTTCTTTGCTTTTGGAGCTACAGGTGGAATAACATCTCTACTCACTTCGGATAGACCCATTTTTGAGAGGTTATCACCCACTATTATACTCTTTTTGTTCAGTTTCAAATAGCCAGTGACTTCTTAATCCTTGCATCTCTTCATGTCGTTGTCTTTTTTTTTTTTCTTTTTTGTTTGCACGCAGTCCTCATGCTGTCACAGGTGTCACTGGTCTTGCTTTGTTGACAATACAAACTATATTGCCAACACTTTTTGAGGTAGTGCTTATTTCTTTCTCTTACCTTATAATGATTTCCTTCACCATTGGTTTTTGACTTGGGTTCTTGCTGGTGCCCATTTCCATTTCCCAAACACATCTATTAAAAACTGAAATTTGTTTATGAATGAAATTGTAACTGTTGTTGAGAAGCAAGTAAAACCGAATTCATTAATGAATGGAATGAAAGACTTCACATTCTCCATTTGTTTGTCCTTACTTTTGGTTGCTTGAATAATGTGCAGGGAAATCCTGGACTGAGGAATGTTCATGGTATCTTGGGTAGTGGTATCATGACGCTTTTTCTTGTTCATTTTGCCCTTGGACTTCAATTAGGCTTCAGTTACTAATTACAGCTTCCGTTGAACCTGTCTTGTTATGTTGAGGTTATTTATTTTAGTTATGGTGTACATACATTCTTTCCTGCACAGTTTCTTAGCCCCAATTGAGAACTCTGATTACCATGATGCTATTTATGTTCTCCTTTATCGTTTCGTTTTTAAAACTAGTTCAGATTGATTTGTTATCCACACTATTACGGGGGAAATGGCCGGCATCTTACTACAAGCTATCTCAAATCACACGATAGAAACGGGATTTAGAAGTTGAGATTTTATTGCGGTATTTCTAGAATTGCAGATTGTCTATGATTCTAATACTGAAAGGTCTTTGATAGTTATTAAGTGGTTAAATACTGTGAGCATAGATAATAACTTCATGTATTGTACAAATGGCGAGGCGTGTATCCTAATTTCTTGTTCCTCTGTTCTGATTTATGTTCGCTATCATATATAGTATGGCATTCGGCAGCTACCAAAGCACATAAAACATCACAATTTATGGAATGTGTTCCACTCGCATCAGGGCTTACCCGATCCAATACATTGATTCAAATCATTTGATATTCGATATATACGCAAATTGCCATTAAGGTGGTACTGTGGTAGTGGATCTTCAGAAAGATCTTCAAACTTAATGTCAGCAATATTGCTGATAAATAATAACTTGGTCCAAGCATCCCCGGCCATAATTTCAGAAGGTTAAGGGGCATTCTTGGAACTGGTAAGACAATATCAGGTTATTAAGGCTCCTTTCGGCTTGGAAAGAAACTTTTTTGTTGTCTGAGCTTTATTACCCTTTAAAATGACTAGCCTTAAATTTTTGAAGTGTGTTTGGATATTCATTTCACTGTTTGTAGTAGGTTGCACTGAGGTTTTCGATCCATTGCACCAAACATAAAAGTTGCCTGGGAACGAATTGATGTTACATCAGCATGTTTGCAAACACACCCTAAGGTTTAGACGTGATGAGAATTTCGGAGCTTATGTGCTTGGCCGATCCATCATACGTTCTTATCAAGCTTGCATCTATCACTTCAAAAAGAGAAGAAAAAAAAAACTTGGATCTTTAGTACACACACTTATGTCAAATTTGTTTACCTTAACTACCGAAGTAAGGGTTGACTATTAATCATACTCATAACTCACACTTTAGCTTATTTTAGAGAAATAATTGCTTAATTTAATTGGCTTTCAAAGAGTTTGAAGAACTGAAAAAATTGAAGTTAAAATCGTCTTGTAGTCATGGACAGATTGGGGGTGGGGGGACCAGGGTCTACCCCCTCATGATCTTTAATATGTGTATATATATAGAGAGAGAGAAAATAGATTAACTTTTATTTTAAGAATAAGTTTATTTAGGTTTCATTCAATTAGTCATGTTTTACATTAAATTTTAACAACTCAACTGATGAATTAAGAGTTTTTAGTGCATAAATAAAGTTTATAAAGTTTTAAAAAAAATTAAAATTATTTGATACTCTATTTTATTAATTTAAATTAGTAGATAATTATAAAAATATTTTATACCTTGATTTGAATTAACAAAATAGAATATTAAATAATTTTCAAAAATTTTCAAACTTGGTAGATTTGATCTATATATTAAGAAATTTTAATTCAATGGTTGGATATTTAAAATTTGATGTAGAATATGAGTTATTGAGTGAAATAAGTTTAAGCAAACTTACTTTTAGAATAACTGGATCCATCTTCATATATATATATATATATATATGAGGAGGGTTATAATTACACCGCTCAATAACTTTATAGTAATTGTAAATTTTATAAATCTAATCGTTAGATTGAAAGTTCATATCACTTTAAATGTGTATATCAAATTTTGTTAAAATTGAACAACAACTTGAAAGTAATTAAAGTGTTCATATTTTAGTATATTTTGAAATGAATATATTACGTTAATTTTGTTTTATAAGAATGAAGTATCAAATCATCTTGGATTAATATGAAATTTTGTATATATGATCTAAGAGTAAAGAACTTTCAATCTAACGGTTGAGTTTTCAAAATTCACATTTAATAGAGTTATTGAGCGGTGTAATACTTCGTAAAAGTTACACCGGTGTTATTATCAAATCTAGAGTGAGGTTATAATAACATCAGTGTAACTTTTACTAAGTATTACATCGCTCAATAACTTTATATTGAGTGTGAATTTTGAAAATTCAACCGTTAGACTGAAAGTTCATATCACTTTATATGTGTATATCAAATTTTGTTAAAATTGAACAATAACTTGAAGGTAATCAAAAGGTTCATATTTTAGTATATTTTGAAATAAATATATTACGTCAATTTTGTTTTATAAGAATGAAGTATCAAATCATATTGAATTAATATAAAATTTTGTATATATGATCTAAGAGTAAGGAACTTTCAATCTAACAGTTGAATTTACAAAATTCACATTTAATATTGTTCTGGTATGCCTAAAAGTCCCACATCGCTTAGGAGTCGAGGCTAAGGGTAGTTTATAAACACTCTCTTTAACCCACCGAGGCGCCTTTTCAAGGACAAAATCGTGATGGCCCAACGAGCGCTAAAGCGGACAATACCTCGGATGTGGTGACCCTAACGATGACAGCGGACTTACGGTAGGAACAAATATAAAGTTATATGAGCGGTGTAATACTATTATAACCCTCCTCTCTCTCTCTATATATATATATATTATTTTGTAAAATTATTTTTTTTAAGGTTTGAAAGAAAAAAAATGTTAGTATAAACTAAAAGATGTAGAAATTTTAACAATATTTCTTAAAATTAAATTTTTTTTAATCATTGAAAATAACATTTTTAATCTTATATGTAAAATAAGTAAATATTTTATTAAATAATGATTTATTAATAGATAAATATTTAAATAATTTCAAAACATTAAAAAATCCCCTCGCTTCCTTTCTTTAAGTTGCTAGACCTGTACCTGCTTGTAGTGCAACAAAAATGGAATGGAATAATACATTTTATCAAATTTAATTTATTTCCATTATATTCTGAACAATTAAAGTAACGTATTTTGGTGACATTAACTTTATTTTAATTTTTTTACGGACTCAAACAGAGACAGATCTGCATTCGATAGGGGCAGTGACTGATTCAGAAATTTTAGATAGTGGGGGCAATAATTATTTATATATTTATAATGTTAAAAATTTTATATATAACTTTTAAAAGTATAAATATATATCATAATTATTTTTTACAAACTTTTATAACTATGTTTACGATTAAAAATGAAAATAAGTTAAGTCAGACTATGTTATATTATAATTTAGTAAGTTTGAACCTAACTTTTTTTTTAAATACATGTCTTAAATATGACTTATTTATCTATCATAGACATTTTTTAAATATTTGGTTAGAACTACAATTTTAAAAATATACTTTATAATAATTTAATACTAATAAAAACATAATAAATATTTTAAGTTGTATAAAAATTAAGTTTAATTTATTTATAATATAAACATGTTTTTAATATTTAATATAATATTTTAGATAATAATTTATTTCAAACATATTTTATAATAAAAAATTTAAATAGAATATAAATATTCCAATCCTTTTTATTTTGATTTTTTTAATCAATGTATAGAATCTTACAATCTTTACTATTTTAATTTTTTTAATCAATGTATACATAAATAAAATGCACAAAAAGTAAATCTATATTACAAATTTTATTTTATCAAAAATTAAACCTTTTAAAAAAATTAATTCGTTATTAAAAAATATTTTTTTAACACATATAAGAAGTAATCTCCTGCGAAAATTTGATAAATATCAAATAAATGAACAACTCTTTTAAATTTGTATTTTATAATATGATAATTTAAATATATATGTTTCTTTAATTAAAATATAATTTTTATTTTTAAAAATATATTATTTTTTGATAAAAAAATATGTGTTGGAAAATGGTAGTGGGGGCACATGCCCCCACTCTCTCTAACGTGGATTCGTGCCTGAGTACTTGCTCCCACTACTCTTTTATATATACATATTTTTTTTATTCAAAAAATATTTTAAAAAATAAAAATTATATTCTAGTAAAATAAATATATATATATATATATTTAAATTATCGTATGTATAAAATATAAATTTAGAGAAAATGTTCATTTATTTGATATTTGTCAAATTTTTGAAGAAGATTAGTTCTCATATATAATGAAGAATACTCCTTAATAATGAATTATTTTTCTTAAAGTTTAATTATAATATATATATATATATATTAATGTTCACATATATAATATAATATATTAAAAAAATTTAGTTTTTGATAAAATAAAATTTGTAGTATAGATATTTACCTTTTGTGCTTTATATTTATTTTATACGTTGATTAAAAAAATTAAAATAGTAAAGATTGTAGATTGTATATGTGTTGATTAAAAAATCAAAGTAGGAAAGATTGGAATATTTATGTTCTATATTTGAATTTTTATTATAAAATATATTTTAAAATAAATTATCATCTAAAAATTTATACCAAATATTAAAAACATATTTATATCATAAATAAATTAAACTTGTTTTATTTATTTATAAGATTTAACATATTTATTTTTATGATTTTATTTGTGTTAAATTATTATAAAGTAGATATTTAACATTGTAGTTCTAACTAAATATTTAAAAAATATGTATGACAGATAAATAAGTCATATTTAAGACATGTAATTTGAAAGAAAGTTAGGTTCAAACCTATTAAATTATAATATAACATAATCTGATCTAATTTATTTTCATCTTTAATTATAATTGTAGATATAGAAATTGTACTGACCGCATTTCGCACCCGGGCTGAGAGCCCGGGTTGACATTATAAGGGTCATCCCGGGCACGCGTTTCGATTCCGGGAGAAGGTGGAAAGCTCCTGAAGCTCGCCAACTTGAGCGGCGTAGCCTTCATTAGCCCTCAAGGCGATCTCCAAAGATTTCTGAACCCTCACGAGATGTCTCCTCGTGGCTTGAAGCTCG